TAAAGCTAGGGATTTTGAACATTTCTTCATGTGCTTGTTAGCCATCTGAATGTCTACTTCGGTGAAGTGTCTGTTCATATCCTGTGCCCATTTTTCTATTGGATTAGAAGCTTCTTCTAACGTACATTGGACATGTGACGGTGATTGTTGTGAGGTGCCGTGAAGTCGAGTACAACTCATAGTGACCCTTTGAACAGCAGATCTGAACCCTGCCCTGTCCTGTGTCCTCACACTCTACAAAACTTGAGCCCGTTGCTGCAGTCACTCTATCAATCCATCTGGTTGAGTGTCATCTCCTCCTTTTCTGTCCCTCCAAATTTCCTAGAATGTCTCCCTCCAAGGAATAGCCTCTCCTAGCCATATGCCCAAAGTATATGAGACTAAGCTTTATCATCCTTGCCTCCAAGGAGCACTCTAACTGCATTTTCTCCAAAATATAACCATTCATTTAGCAATCCATGGGATATTCAGGACTCTTCTCCAACACGACATCTCAAAGGCATCAAATCTTCTCCTACCATCCTAATTCACTGTATAGCTCCCAACAGCATAGCAAGTGATTGAAAAGACCAATGCTTGAATCAAGTGCACCATAATCCTCAAACAGACTTCTTTGCTCCCCAGTAATTTGGAGAGGTCCCTGACTGGGGATTTTCCAAATGCACTATGTCTCCTGACCTCCTGATGGCTGGTACCAACATGCTGGGCATGTTGTTGTTATTATTGAGTACTCCTGAGTCAGAACCAACCCATAGTAACCCTCTAGAGGGTTTTCCGAGGCAGTTAATCAGACAGGAACAGATTGCCCATTTTTTCTCTCACAGAGAAGCTGATGAATTCAAACCGTGTGCCTTCGGTATTGTAGTGCTGCTTCTTACCACTAAGCCACCAGAGCGCCCTTGGGCATGTTGTTAGGGAAGCTATTCCTTGGAAAGGTGGAGGGTCAGTGAAAGAGAGGAAGAACTTCAATCAGATGGATTAACATGGACTTCAGTAATGGATTTGAGTAGGTGAGAGATGATGAGGATGGCACAGGGTAGGACAGCATCTAGATGTAATTTTCATAGGATTGCTGTGAGTCATACTTAACTCAGCGGGACTTAATAACACCAAGAAAACATATTATTTAATACTAAGCATTTGAAGTAATACTCGATTGAATGTAACATGTCTATCTTTGATTGAACTACTTAGCAATATCAATATTTTTTAAATTTATTATTCCTCAAGCCAATTCTAAAATATACCCGTTTTCATTATTCCCTGATTCTTTATATATTCCAGAAAACCATTTCTAATATGAAGATGAAAATAATAACAGATTTCAGTACACAAAAATTGTAATCTTAACTTCAAAAGCAAGTTTATTTTTTAAATTACATATAAAAAATACACCATTAGCTTCACATTAGCTCACATGAAAATATATAATCATTTAAATATAGTTTCTCTTTACAAAAAAAAAAGACGACACGCTAGGCCCTAATTACATAAATAAATTAAATACACTGATACAAAACACTCTTTACACATTCACATATGAATTCAGAAATTACAATATCTATGCAAGATACTGAATAAGAACAAAATTAACAAAATATTTTGATCTTTTTGCTATTAAGAGAATTTTGTGTTTTCTTGACTATACAAAATCAGTCAGTTGTGTTTTCTAATCTGCATATTAAACCAAAATGCAGTTAGACAAAGGGGCACATTTTGTATCCTACAAAATTCTGAAAGTAATTAATATCCAATATGATTGAAGTTATAATTTTTACCATTTCAAGTTTTCAAACTTGTCCGAAATATTGGACTATAAAAATTTTGTAGACATTTCCAAATTGTTGAACAAAAATCATCAGTATTATACTTCTGTATTTTCAGTATATGACGTTTAAATATAAATCTTTTTTAGAAAAATAGTACTTAAATGTGTCCAATCAAAAAAGATAGCAGATTTTCCTATTTTTCTTCCTGAAATTTTGAGCACTTGAGTTATAATTTTCTTTTATTTCAAATTTTAGTTTATTTTCAAATCAAATCTTCCAAAATTAAATTGAAGGGTTATTTTTAATTAGCATTTCACAGTGATACTTTTAAAAGGAAACGAAAATGTTTTTATATAAGAAGAAACGTTGGCGACGACATTACGTATGTTGCTTTGCCTATAAAGTACACACACATTTGCCCATTTTTCAACATAATTACTATTCAAATTTAGAATTAAAGAAATTACACCATACCACACAAACCCACAGGTTTTGAAAATGAAGCAACGCATAGAAACCAACAATTATACTATATTTAATCAATGCTAAGATCACAGAGAGCTCTGGTAGCGTGGTCAGTAGGGAGCTGTGCTAACACAGAGGGGGAGCTCTCCAGCAGTTCGAATCAACCAGAGGCTCCACAGGAGAAAGCTGGGCCGTTTCCTCCCATGCAGCTTTCAGCTTTGGAAACCCAGTGGAGGGTCAGCTATGAGTCTGTTTTGACTCAACAGCAATGAGCTGAGTTTTTAAGATAACATTTTCTATTTCTGAAATCATAGTACATCTTACCATTGACTCCAGTTCAATTCAATGTGGTAATTACAGCATATAGCTGTCACCCATGCTCCTCCAAACATTAATGATAGAAAGGTTCCAGGGTCTTAAAAACAAAAAAAGATGCATCTATAATAGCTCAATACGTATCTCTAAATGAAAGATCCAAATATGATTTGGGTACCATAAACTTAAAATAGGGAGCTCTGGTGACTGACTGACTTCAGTGGGAGTAGAGCTGATAACCCAAATGTGCCCTCCAGAGGTTCGCATCCACCAGCAACTCCACGGGAGAAAGATGAGCATTCTCCATCCTTGTGACTTACAGCCTCAGAACACACAGAGCAGGGTCAGCTGTGAGTCAGTTTCAACTCAACAGGAAGCGGGGGAAGCAGGTGAGGAAGGCAGTGAGGGGTGAAGTCTCTTAACATCTGTTGTTTGAATTATTAAAATCACCTATCATATGTAAGGAAAGCCAAACGAAAGTAAAAGTACATAGCTCTCACTTCTAGATGGTCCTCCACTTACACTCTTGATTTTATTCAAACTTTTCAAATACTAGTATTTTAATAATAACAATTAGTAGGCTGCCCAAATAATATTACCCAAACTGATAACTTTACTTCGAGCTATTAAGAAATTATGTAGCAATGTCTAAAGAGACAAGCTCATGAAATAATTTGGGTTTTTATATCAAACCACCAACACTTCATGTGGAAGGTGGCAAAGATGGCAAAAAAGAATCATCACGCTGGCAAACTCATTTTACTCTCAATGTCTAGCTCAGGATTTAAAAAAATCCTGCTGAGACTCTGTGGCCAAGTGTACAAATGGTTAAGTATTATAGAATCTCATTCTACAGAACCAAAAAGGAAAGTCCTTTGTTTGCCCACTGCCCTTGGCTCTCTTCTAACCCATGGTAAGCCTTCACTGCATTTCCAAGGCTGTAAATCTTCAGTGGGAGAGATGGCTTATCTTTCTCCCACAGAGTGACTCGTGGATTCGAACCAGCAACCTTCCAGTTAGCAGCATGCCATGTTACACACTACGCCACCAGGATTTCTTATTTATGATCACATAAATGAATCCCAGTCAAAAGTTGAAATAATTCATTATAGTTCTTTATTATTATTATTATTATGCAGTTAGAATGCTATATTGATAATGGAATGCATCTGTTCATTTGTTTCAGTTGTTAAATCTTTTTTTTGTCATGTGCCATTGAGTCACAACTGACTCTCAGCCGGTCTTCTGATGGGTTCTTAGAGGCTGTAAATGGCATGGGATGAGACTACACATCTTTCTTCCACAGAGCAGCTGGTGAACGCAAGCCACCTGGCTTTCGTCAGCGCAACTCCTTACTAGTAGGTCACCAGAGCTTCCCTTATTATATGGTTACTTATTTTTATTGTAAAAAGCAAGTCAAACTCCCTTCCCCCATTTCCACGGAGTTGGAATTGACCCACAGCTGATCCTCTAGCGGGTTTGCAGAGACTGTAAATCACATGGAGGGAACACTGGTGGCCTTGTGGTAAAAAGTTGCACTGCAAATCCAAATGCATAAAGAGTGAATCCTCCAGCTGCTCTGTGGCAAAAGATGGGTAAGCTCCCTTGCATTTTACAGCCTCTGATTGTCAGTTTCAATTTGGTGGCACATAACAATAGTAACAACTCACATAGGAGGAGATGGCTCATCTTTCTCCCATGGAGCAGCTGGAAAGCAAAGATAGCATTTAATAAGTTTGCTGTGTTCCTTCTGTAAGTGAAGAGATGCAATCATACAGAATTAAAGAGAACCGTAAATTTAAGAGGTGAAATTCATATACTGTGCTAAATTGTTCTGTGATGGAAATTAAGATGAAGCTCTTCTACTGAAAATAGTGGATAAAGGGTGCTTCTGAAACTTTTTGAAAAATAAGCCCTTCGTCACCCTTCAAACAAAATTTTCTGCAACAAAATTTGCCCCTATGGCTTAACTTAGCCAAACAGTAGGCAGGCCTATGCAGTGGTCAGTAACACCAGGGAGGTACTCATTCCTTAAAATAACCAATCATCTAAGCTCAAAAGAGCAGCATTTACCCAAGGAAAAATCCCAGAAGACTGGAAGGGGTAGGATAGAAAGAATAGTGGAAATAAGAATCACAGGGACAAAGTGGGAAGAATGTGATTACATTATGAGTATTGTCATTAATGTTACAAAATAAAATGTGTAAAACTGTTAAATGGAAACCAATTTATTTTGTAAACTTTCACTCAAATAAAAAGGGAAAAATTAAGAAGAAATAAATAGAATCCTAAGCATGAATTTCAAAGGAATATAAAAGTCCTGAAAAATAATATCTGTAGCAAAATAGTTCAAGGTTAGTTTTCCCTTCAAAGTTGGGAAAAGTATGTGCACTTAGTACCAAATATATTTCAGGGGAGGTGCTGAATTTTCTACTAACTTTAACACAAAAGTTAGTTCACCTCCTTCCCTCTCAATTTTCTTGATAGCCGAGTCTGTCTCTCAGACTGCGGCATCTGAGAAGATAAACTTCTCAAGGCATACATTTTAACAGATATAGAAGGCTGTTTTGGTGTGCTAAGGCATTTTTTCCTACCATCCTTCTTCCTTCGTGCGGCACGGGAGGACTCCTGCCTCGATCGCCTTGGAGCAGAGCTGGCTGGCTCTCCCATCTGCTCATTAGTGCCAGCTGATGGCGTTGGTCCCATCTCTTTGGCTGATCCCGTCACCTTCATTAGTCTGTTGACATCGGAGTTTTCCTTCTTCAGATGCATTCCAACAAAAGTGCTCTTGGACTGATACCGATGATGTAAAAAATCCGAGTATTTTGAAATGTACTTTCTAAGTATATCATTTGATTTGGTCCTAATCGATTGTTTTTCTGAAGGCATTTTGGTTTTTTGCTGGATAGTATTTGGCATATATTCCTTTGGGGGCAAACTCTGCTTATTCATTTTCACCTTGCCTCCCTTTGAGTTTTTACTTTTACTTTCTCGAATCCCCTTCTTCATTGGTTTGCCAGAGATTTGGGCAGCTTCGGGATTTACACACATTAAGTGGAAATTACTTTCCTTTGGTACTTCACTAGAACTCAAAGTCTCTGATTTCTCTAGAAACACAGAGCCGCTGGCTCCCTGATGTGCCATTAGCCCATATCTTACTGGAACAATCATAAAAGATTCGGAGGCGTCATCATCTTGTGCACTGAAGTCCAGTTTGTTCCTGTCGAAATTACTCTCATCCCAGTCGTGACTGTCACATTCTGGCACCACTGTGTCCGGGGGATTAATCACGATTTGCCTAGTCAGTGGATCATAATACTTAAAGGAACTTTGTTCGTATTTATACTGCGTATCATCCCAACTGTCTGTATCACCTTTTGTCCTTGCTTTAGAGAAATTGAAAGATTCACCTTCCTTCTGTTTAGCATTTGGAGAAGAAAGAACATAGATAAAGGCATTGGGTTGTAAAGGTTTTAAGACTTCGGCATTTGGTTCAGAAAATTCAGTTATTCCAGTGTTCTGGTTTTTGGTGGTTTGGTCATCCTGTAAACGTAAACACTTTCCTTTCGGCGAGTCTTCCTCCTGTCCCATTATTTTTCTTTTCCTCTCTGAGTAGCTACTAAAATTTGTCTTCATTCCATAGTTGTCTCTTACTGTTTGTCCTTGAGAAACCACCTGCGACGTTTGATTATAAGGCCCCTTTGCTGGAGAATGAAGGCATGATTTATCAAAGGTCATTGACGAGTTATCAGTATCAGAAACCTCACTTGCAGTATCATCGGAATCTGGTAACACTTGAACTAGTGCCATTTCCTGATCAAGGTCAGCCCACGTAACCCTTTTTTTAACTTTTTTTTGCACTCTCCTGGCCTCGCAGTTATCATCAAAGTAAGAGTGGAAATGGCCTTCCCTGAATTCTTTCACGAGGGTATTTATTTTTGCATCATCTTCTTTCATTATTTGAGACCATGTTTTCCCTACAAATGAGGCAGGGACATGAGGCAGGGCTTCAAGAACCGGTTCTGCAGAGTTCTCATCTATGACCTTTGCTTTTTCCTGGTCTCTTTGAGGATCAACTGTGAAAACAGCACTTGAATGGGAATCATAGTCATCTTTCAGGTCAATGGAAATCTTCTTAAATAGTTCTGTGTTATTCGCAGCTGCTCTCAGCTGGTCACTGTCACACTGAAGAGAGAGATCACCTTGTAAATTCATTGCAGCACGACACTGTTCACAGGCCTTGTATACTAGATCTGTATGCTTTAACTTCCACGGGTTTTCCTTAGGGGTCATTTCATGGATCACAAATTCAGCAGAGGTGTCATACTCCACCTCACTGAATTCACAGCTCTTCTCCTTCAGGGTGGAATCTTTTAGGCTCATTGGAAGGCTGTTTTTCTTGGGAGCATTGTGCTCTTGATCAGCCATGGTCTGAGAAGAGTCTTGCCAGTTGAAATTTCTTTCAGCGCCGCTAGATTCACAGTGCTTATTTTCTGAGCGGTATTTCTCCATTTTTTTACCAGCCCCGTGTGATTGGTAAGTCATGGACTGCTGCGTAACATTAACATTAAAATCTGTCTCGGAACCACAGGAATCATAGGTCAGATCTTCCAGAACAATATAGTCTCCCTTCTGGTTTACTAATCTTAAAGTCTCCTTGGATTGGCTGGCGGCCACTAATTGAGGAGGGTCTTCACAAACATACCTTATTTCAGAACCCCAAGAGTCACCTCCTAGAGCAATGCCATCTGCATTTTTACAATTTACCTTCTTGCCAGTCCCTCGAGGTGGGACAATCACTGATTGAATGCGGAGATCAGGAGCAGGAATTATTTCACAATCACTGTCACTGGTCACGAGGTCCAAAAATACCATCTTATGAACATTTCTTTTTTTGACTGACATTTGAGGTTGGTTAACCACTATTTGAAGAGGGACATCAGAATCGCATACAATTTCAGAATCGCTGGGTTCAACAGTGGTTTCTTCCATGCCAAGATGCTTTTCCTTGTGAAGATTTTTTTCTCTGCAAACCACTTGAACTTGGTCAATGTCTATCTGAAAATGATCGTAATCACATTTTATTGCAGAAGCACTGGATTTGCAGTCTTTATGCTTGAGGTCATCATGATTCTTCTTTGGAAAATTTTTTTCTCTCACAGTTTCAGGAGACTGGCCAGCCGCAAACTGAACAGGTGCCTCAGAATCCAAAGTTACCTCAAAATCACCCAGTTTGTATCTCTTGTCTTCCAGATAAATATGATCTTCCTTCCAAAGACTTACTTCCTTAACAGATTTCTGAAGCTGGTTACCCATTGATTGAAGAGGATCAGAGTCAAAACTTCCTTTGGGATGGCAAGGATCACTCCTTCGATCTTCCAAATTTGTATGCTCCGCTTCCAAAATTTCTGACTGTCCAGCCACCGACTGCTTAGGGACACTGGAAGCATAAACTATTTTAGAACGATTGAGCTCATAGCTCTTTTCATCCAGACAAATGTTTTTCTCCCTCCGAACATTTATTTCTCTAATAGTCCCTTGAATTTCATCAGCAACAGAATGGAAAGTTTTCTCATCACAATTTGGTACTGAACCACTAGGTTTGACTATCTTCTCATCCAAGTCAACATGCTCCTTGAAAAGGTTACTATCCTTAACTACCTCTTCAGTGGGACCAGCCACCGACTGATATACATCAGAATTGTACATGCTGTCGTAACTCGTAGATTCATTTGTCTTTTCTTCCATGGCAGTGTCTTCACCTTCCCAGAGGTTTCTTTTTATAATAGCTTTCTGAAGCTCATCAGACACTGACTGAAGGGGCTCATCAGAATCAAAACTCATTTCTGAACCACAGGACTGACTGTGTTTATCTTCAAGTTCAATATGCTCCTGCTCTAGAATAGTTATTTGAGGCTGATCAATTATTGACTCAACCAAGAGATCAGAATCCAGACTCATTTCAGAACCACTATATTGGCTGTTCTTATCTTCCTGGTAGGCACTGTCTTCTTTCTCAAGGTTTATTTCCCTAACATCTACTTCAGGTTGATCAGCTTCAGCCCGAAGAGAAACATTAGGCTCGTGTGTTAACATAGAACCACTCATTTCATCAGTTTTATTTTCCAGGCCAGTATCCTCTTCCTTCCATAAATTTATTCTTTTAACAGCTTCATGAATTTGTTCAGCCAGTGACTGGATAGGGTCATCAGAACTACAAGTTGGTTTAGAGTCACTGTTCTTATCTTCAAGATCAACATACCTTTCCTTCAGGAGAGGCAGTTGATGTTGGCTGGTGATGGAATGAAGAAGAGTCTCAATATCCAAATTCATTTCAAAACCTCTTGGTGCGGTACTTCCATTTTCGGGGCCAGAACTACCCTCTGGAAGTTTCTGAGTCTGTGACAGAAAAGAGACCTCAGAACCCAAAGCTGCCTCAGAACTACGGCCCTCACCACTTTTGTTTTTGAGAGCGGCATGCTTTTCTTTTTGAATGTTTCTTTTTCTGGCAGATATATGAGATTCAGTGGCTAAATAATTGACATCAGAATACAAAAGTATTTCCGAATTACTGCATGCCTCTCTCTTATTTTCTAGAGCAATGGGTTCTTCATTTTGGATATTTCTTTTTTCAACAGATATTTGAGGTTCAGTGACTAAATGACAAGGAGCTTCAGAATTCAGAACTATTTTAGAACTAGTGCAAGCCTCACCCTTATTTTCTAGAATGATGGGTTCTTTTCTTTGAATGTTCCTTCTTTCAACACGTGTTTGAATTTCAATCACTGAACAGTGAGGGACTTCAGAATCCAAACTTCTTTCAGGCCTGCCAGGTTCAGCACGTCGACCTTCTCCGTAGACATACTTTTCATTCTGAAGGTATATTTCTTCAACCTTAAGATCATGAATCACTGACTGCACAGGGATATCAGAAGGCAGCCTTGTTTCAGAAACATCAACTTCCTTTTTGTTTACTAAATGTACATGTTCTTCTTTCTGATAGCTTGCTTTTTTATTAGCTATGTCAGAATGATCAGTTACTACATGACGAAAAATACCAGATTTCAAACTGATTTCAGAAACACTCGATCCATGGTCCTTATTTTCTAAGTGTACATGCTCTTCTTTCAGAGTGTTTATAGCTTTATTTACTATGTCAGAATGAGCTATCGCTGCGTGTAGAGGGTCATCAGATTTCAAACTGATATCAGAAGAAGTAGAGCTATTGTCTTTGATTTCTGTGTGTGCTTGTCCCTCTTTCTGAAAGTCTCTTTCATTCATAGAAGCTTTGAAATAGTCAGTCGCTGACTTATCACACTCCAAACTTAATTCCAGACCACTGAGTTCATTTCCTTCCTTCTCTAAGTATATCTGCTCTTCTTTCTGGTGACAGACATTTTTAACTACATCAGCAGGATTAATGAGTGAGTGGAAAGAGAGATCAGAATCTAAACTCATATCAGAACCAGTGAATTCGTCCTCCTTCCTTTCCAAGTAGACATGCTTCTCTTCCTGAACTGTCATTTCTTGACCAGCTTCTTCAGATTGTTCAGCATCTGACTGAGGGGGTACATAAGAATCAAAGGTTATTTCTGAGACACAAGATTCATTACTTTTCTTTTCCAGATCAGGACATTGCTCCTCATCAAGAGTTTCTTCAGGAAGGTCAGCTATTGACTGAAGAGAAATATCAGAGTCAAAAGTTATCTCAGAGCTATTTGATTCACAGATCTTATTTTGCTGGTTAATGTGATCTTTTATTTCTTCAAAATCTAGCTGAGACTGCTCTTTAAGAGACAGGATGGGATCGGAATCAAAGGTCAGCTCAGAACTGGAACAGTCATAGCTTTTAACTTCTGTGTCATCATTCTGTCCTGTCAGACTTGTTTTACGCCCAGCTTCTTGAGGCTCATCATTGGCCAACTGACCAAAAGAATCATGAGAATCAACGCTTGGATCAGAAATACTGTGCTCATCATTCTGATTCTGCAGCTCAACAGGAAACCCAAGAGGGTTTACTTCTTTAATGGTCACATAAGATTGGTCGGTCATTTTTTGAGTGCCTCCATGGAAATTCCTTTTAGGACCATGACAGTCACTGTTCTTATCCACAAGATCAGCATTCTTCTCTTTCAGATGGCTTCTCTCCCCAACAGCCCTTTTAGGTTGGTCAGTCACTGCCTGAAGAGAAACATCACGACTAAGACATCCTTTCGAAGTACTGGGCTTACAGTTCTCATCTTCCAGGTCAGCATGCCGATCCTCTGGATTTCCTTCCATGGCAGCCTGTTGAAGATGATCAGGCACTGACTGTAGAGCAATTTTACAATCAAAACTTGCTTCAGAACCACTTGATTCATAGTCTTTATCTGTTGTGCCCATGGGAGACTTCATCAGAACTTTTCTTTCTTTGACAATCACTGTTTGAAGTGCATAAGCAGAATCAGCACTTGTTTCAGAACCATTAGACCCATTGTTTCTATCACCTGAGCCAATATGCACTTCCTTGGGAAGGTTGACTTCTTTTCCAGACTGTTGGGGATAGTCAGTAACTGATTGATGGGAGGTATCACAGTCAAAATTCATTTCAGAACTACTAGAGTCATAGCTTTTGTCAACCAGTCTAATATGCATAGTCTTCTGAAGGCTAATTTCTGTATGTATCACTTGAGGTTTATTGGTAACCAAGTGAAAAGAACCATCAGAATCATAATTTATTTCAGACACACAGGCTTCATTACTCTTATTCTGCTGATCAGCATTCACTTGCACTGGAAGGTTTATTTCTTTGAGAGTTGCCTTAGATTGGTCAGTAAGTGAAGGACAAGAAGAATTGCAATCAGAACTCATTTCAGGATGTCTGGATTCATAGTTCTTACCTTCTGGGTCAAGTTGTTTCTCCTTGCTAAGGTTTAACTGTTGCACCACATCTTGGGATTGACTAGACACTGACTGATCAGAATATGCTGAATTCTCTGGTTCTGAAAACTCCAACTGGCTAAAAGAGAAATGCTTTTCTTCTTGAATCTGATCTATTTTAGAAAATAATTCCTTGCGTGTTTTTAGAAAGGCATCTTCAGAACTTCCTTTGCTAGAAGGTATGATGATCTTATTCGGGCTTGCTGCTGAGCTGACTGCTGATTTGGGGAGCGGTTCCAATCTGAAGGAACCCATAGTACGTGTAAATTCATGAAGTTTGAAGCCAGTTGGCAAAGTTTTACCCAGGAACTTTACATCTTTTTGTAAAATCAATTTGCCTGAATTTATACATGATTTCCTATTTAATTCTTTAGGGTTTGTATATGAAACTGACGGCATTTCTAGATGAGATGGTATTACAGGATTGCTCGAACTCTGGCCTGGTTTTTCAGGGTGACTGTCAGATTTGTTTGGGTCACTTTTGTTAAGTTGATCCAAATGGGCTACTCGTGGTAACCTTGCAGTATTAGATGTGACTGGTCTATCATAAGAATTTCCAGATAAAGCAGTGGGGGCACTGAAAATCACTGTGGAACATCCTGAATTCTGACCGTTATTTGTATTTTGGCTAACACCTACTGCTTTAAATTCTTCCATACCGCTCTTAATCTTATAGGCAAACTCCAAAGGGTACTGATGTCCCTTCTCCAGTTTCTGAATAACTGATGGTCGAATTGAAACATCCTGACTATATTTCTGAGCTCTTCTAGGTCTGACCTGCAGCTCTTCAAAAGCTTCTGTACCCCTGGAGTGTATGTCTCCTCTGACTCCACTGTTGTCCCTAACTGTTTCCATAGGAATAGAAGGAGGAAAATCAGCCACGTTAGAAGATACGGTATTTTTAGAATGCCTCTCATTTTGTGTTGATCTAAAAGGAAAGAAAAAAGAAAAAAAAAACTCATAAATATATTCTAATACATATTTCAATGTTAAAATTAAAGCATTTTTTTTCTATTTCAGGCTATTCCTAAAGGTTAAAGATTCAGGGTAATCATACCAGACAATGTACTTACACCCTTCACTGATGCAGTCAAAGCAGAGGGTGGAGATAGCTGTACCAAAGAAAATAATACAAAGGGCTCCTGAACAGGAGGAAATGCTGCTAAAACTGTGGGTTTGTTTTTTTTTAATTTTTATTTTTTAGCTGTCAGAATGTCAGTATTAAAGAGATAGATACAAGTCACTTGACTTTCTATGACTCAGTTTTCTCTTCTGAAAAGCAGGGAGTTATAACCTTCATATTTTCCTTCATAAGATTGTTTTGAAGAACAAATCAGTTGTAATATATAATTTTTTAAAAAGCAGCTTTTTAAAAAGGTTGGCCTATAGTAAGACATACATGTTGTTCTTACACATTGTGTGTTCAAGGCGATAAGGACACTTACTTTACTATATTGCAGGGGCGCCCATCCATTCCAGCGAAGTCAAGTGGATTGCCACTCTGTTGGTTAGAAACCCTCCATTGATTATCTGAGGCTGTACATCTTTGCAGGACGTCATGATCTTCCTTTTCCTCTGAGTTCCTGATGGAATCAAACCACACCAGTTCAGGGTTTCCTATATTACAGGTAGGAGTGTTGATTAACTTTTATTAAAAATTTTTTTCAATCTTTTAAAATGAAAAATACATATCCTCTGACATAGTAAATTTGTTTTGTTTTGTTTTCATTTGTTTCTTCGTGTTTTTAATGAGGTATGTTCAAGAATATTAACTGGTACCTTTCTTTTCTTTTTTTTTTTTAACTCACCAATGACCAGAATCTACATTTTTGTTCATCAGTCATGCCCTGGTTGAATAATTTATGGTACTTAATGGAATACAGTGTAGGTTTTAATAATAATTTATGGTATTTAATGGGATGGAATGTATATTTTAATATTAAAACACTCCCATATATAATTTTAGTAAAGATAAATTACTATTTAAAAAATTTTCCCTATGTAATGTCAACAATTTGCAATTGAATATTAACTTAAGGCTGGCAATTAAAATGCACCAGTGCAGCACTGCCAGGCAAGAAAAGTCTGAAAATCGATTTCTGTGAAGATTCTCGTTTATTGCACTAGATTTAGTGCTACTTGAAGGTATCACTCACCCACTAAATCAGAACCAACTCATAGCTGACCCTCCATTGGGGTTTTGGAAGCTGTAAATCCTGCAGGTGGATACTGCTTACCCTCCTTCCTCAGAGCTCCTAATGGATTTGAATTTTCAGAGAGGTACCAGCTTTGGGTTAAAAAATGCAGTTCCCTACAGACTAAGCTACCAGAGACAATATGCAGTACTACTCTGTATTACATGGGGTCACTATGATTCTGAATTAATTTGTTAAAAATTAGTTTGGTTTTGAGTGGTTTCATTTTGGTTTTCAGTTTGGGTTTTTATAGTGACCAAAATATCCACAGAATGTTAACAGTGTATGTAAAAGAGAGTAGTAAAGACTGTATACTTGAAATAGACAAAAACTGCTCACTGTGGCCGCCTCCAGATTAACAGGGCACTGAGGAAGGAAGATTTACTGAACATGTAAGGGAGTTCTGGTGGCCTACTGGTAAGAAACTGTGCTGCAATCCTAAAGACCCATAGCTCTAATCCACCAGCCACTCTGTGAGAGAATGCAGTCTCCTCCCGTGTGATTTACTGCCTATAAAAACCCACTGGATCGGTTCTGACTGAGCAGCAAAATAACAAAAACATGGTTACTTATATCCCATTCAAACTTTTAAGCCCTTTTTAAGATCTAAAATGTTATTGTTTAAAATTAGCCTATGACTCTCTTCTGCCAGCATGAAGACAACACAAAAACAAGATTCAAAGCACTGTTAAGAATTGTTCTTCTAGAAATCAATCCAGCTAACTTGAGAATACTGCATGGCTTAAAAATCAAGAAAGGTATGTGCCAGGATTGGGTTCTTTATCCCTCTCTATTCAATTTGTATGCTCAGCAAACCTGGGCTATGTGAAGAAGAATGTGGCATCAGGATTAGAAAAAGACTCAGCAGCAACCTATGCTATGCAGACGACATAAAACTGCTTGCAGAAAACCCTTCAATATGGGTTAATATTCACATCAAGAGAGCAAAAGTCCTCACAACTAGATCAATAGGCAACATCATGATAGATTTGGATGGGAAGGAAAAATGGAAGTTGTCAAGATTTCATTTTACCTAGATCAGCAATCAACATCCATGGTAACAGCAGTCAAGAAATCAAAGACATGTCATTTTGGCAAAATCTACTGTCAAGCACCTCTTCCAAATACTAAAGAGTAAGGATGTCAGTTCTAAGACAAAGGTGCACCTGACCCTAGCTGTGATATTTTCAGTTGCTTTGCATGCATTTGAAAATTGGACCGTGAAAAAGGAAGACTAAAGAAGCACTGATGCTTTTGAGCTGTAATTGGAGAAGAGTATACTGAATATGCCACGGACTGTCAAAAGGACACGTACGTCTGTCCTGGAGGAAGTACAACCAGCGTGCTCCTTTGAGACAAGGATGGTGAAACTCTGTCTCACATATTTTGGGCATGTTGTAAGGAGGGGCCAGGCCTTGAAAAAATCTGTAGGAAAAGCAGAGGGTCAGAGAAAGAGAGGAAGACCCTCGAGATGGGCTGACACAGTAACTGCCACGCAGGGGGCTTGAGCTGGCTGGAGATTGGGAGGATGGTGCCGGACAGGACAAGGTTCGGGTCTGCTGTTCAGAGGATGTCTGTGAACCTTAGTCAACTACGACCCCTAACAACAGTCACTTCAGAGCCCTACATTATCTCCTTTTGCCTTAAAAAGCACCACAGCATTATTGGAACAAAACTCATGTTGAAACTTTTAAATAAGCAGGAAAAGGAAGACACAATCACGAAAATCAAACAATTTCACAAAACTCCACAACTATAAAGAATCACCACCTAGATGCTTGGATGTGTGTCATAGCTGTATATATGGAAGAATAAGTAACAACCCATATTACTCATAACTTATAATTAACTTCATGACAGCAGAAAAGCACTGCAAAATCTAATCATTGCCAGTTAAAAACACTTTCTGTAACTCTTGGATTGAGAAGGTAAATTAATAAAAATGTTGCATAAGTAAATAGAATTTAAAATTTCTACATCAGAACCTATTTAGTTACTGTTCCCTGTGCTGTCAAATTGGAACCAGCTCATAGCTGACCCTCCAGAGGGTTTTCAGAGGCTGCAACTCACTTAGGAGGAGAATCTCCCAAAGAGCAGCTGAAGGACTGGCATCACCTGCTTTTGGGTTGATGGCACAACTCCTTACCCACACTAGGCTGCCAGAGATCCCGCAAAGCCTACTATGTGCAACCAAAATATAAACTTCACATGCTTAGATATTTACATTTTTAAACGAAAAATTAGAAGATACAAATTAATTACATGAAAACCCAACTTTAAAAAACTGAAAAATAACATTTTTCTCTCCCTCAAAAAAACAGAACAAATTCATAAAGAAAAAAAACTTAAGAAGGTATAAAAGCAAAGCAAGAAGAGCTGATCTTTGAGAAAGTCAAAATAAGAGGGAAAACCTGCAATGTTTTGGAAACTGGAGAAAAAAGAAAACAAATTTTGTCATATAGATATAGTTAACTAATGTGATATTGGCATGAGAGGAAAAGCTTCATTTACCTTTGCTAACTCCACAAAGGACTGTTCTCTGTAACTCCATAGTTCTTACAAATTCAGTAGATCCAAAAAAATCAATAGAAACTGGGAGAGTGTATATACAAATAAATTATAAGATAAATTTCTGAGCAATAAATATCAAAAAAGAAGTTTACTTCACGCATAAATAGAGACCTATGTAGAGGTGCTATTCTGGTGCCCTAGTGATAAGCTGTGCTGCAATTTCAAAGACATGCAGTTCAAATCCACCAGATACTCTGAGGAAGAAGGACAGGCGGTCTTCTTCTCTGTGATTTACTGCCTCTGAAAATGCTCTCGAAGGTCAGCTAGGGGTTGGTTCAGACTGGATGGCAAACAACAAAAACGATTATATTAAAAAAAAATAATTGCTATGGATGACAGGAAATGAGCGCTCTCATACACTATGGCTGTGAGAATTAAGCAGAGTATTCTAGAAACTGTCAGTGAAGGAATTAAAATATCCAAGTACAATCTGAGCAACAAAATAAAATACTGCTTTTATTTCCATGAAATAAAAAATGTCTCCATGATTCTGTAGTAATGGAAACAAATAGTTAAATAAATAATGATAAAACAAGGAATTCTTTTTATGGGAGAAAAAGAGGAAGCCGCCCAATGAGATCACGTGACAGAGTAGCTGCAACAGCAGGCCAAGTCCAGCAGTGACGGGGAGGCTGATGGGTGACCAGGCAGGGTCTCATTTGTTGTGTAAAGGGTTCCTAAGTCCGACGAGTATCTAAGGTGTTGGGCTGCTAACCCAAAGGTATTCAATTTAAATTCTCAAGTATAGGAAAAACATAGGCAGTCTCCTTCCATAAAGATTGAACAGGTTCGGAAATCGGGTGGAGGGCAGCCATGAGCTGGATTCAAATGATGACAGTGAGGGAACACAGACTAAGTCTATGTCTCACCACCACCTAAGAAGCCCATTCCCCGCCCCCCAACAATCTTCTCTCATTAAAATATTTCATAATTTGCCAAATTCTCTGTTGGTTACTTTCAAAGAGTTACTTTTTTATTCTTTTACTGGTGCTGACCTTAGCTAATTTGACACAGATATGCTAATGAGCTATTGCACCTCATTTTATACAGCTGTAGCTACAAACTCATTGAAGTTATGTAATCTGATTTTGTCAGTTTTTCTTTAACATAGGAGCCTAACCATTAAATGTTACCAAATAATTATTTCTATTAAACCAAAACTAATTTATACAAGAGAAAACCTTCAAGATATTGACGGACTACCAAAAAAGCCAATCCTCTCATAGATTTGACCCCGAGGCAAGCAGTTCAAATCCACTAGATGCTCCGTAGGTGAGAGTCTCCTTTTGTGCAATTTACAGTCTACGAAAACCTGCTGTAAGACACCTGTGAGTCACTTCTGACCTGACGGCACTTAACACCAGCATTTGAAAAAGCTATTTTTGCTCCCTGCCTTTGTCCCATTGAATCATGTGAGGTACTTTTATGAAATCTTAATGGCATGTGATCCTCTAGCATCCTGAGATTTTTATTTAGGGGATGAACAGTATCATGTAAGATACATCTTTTATAGTGAAATTTCTTATTAAAGCGAAAAATATAAATGCAGTAGAAAGTAGTTTCACATGAAATAGGTTTCTGATTAACTTTTAAGAAGCAATCAAACATTAACATAAACATCAAATGTAACATACACCCATGAACGAATGTTCTTCTCAGCTACTTTACCTGCTTTGTATATAATGGTAGGGGTGGTGACAAAGTACATCCTGCAAGAAACGCTCCATCAGACTGCTGGTCTCTATCCGACGTCTGTTCTGGGTAGTCGCATTTCTGTGCTGGGCACTGTTTATATGCTGTGAAGAAAAGAGAAACTGAGTATTTTTCAAATGGGTAATGCCCAGTAGTAAGCATATTACAAACAGAATTCATTTAAATACTGCTGCTAGAAGTGTAAATTGGCCAAACCTTTTATGAAGCAGTTATCAAATATCAGTCTAAAAGTCATAAACTCACTCTCTTGTTATTGCTGATTGCCTTCGAGTTGAGCACAACTCATAGCAACCATATGAACAAAAGGCTTGAAGCCCCTCTCCCAACTACTGACTTTTATCAAAGATCATAGAGTTTCCAGAGGCATGTTGTTTAGGAAGTAGACGCCACTATTCAGAACTGCCTCTTAGCTCATCCTCCAGAAAGTGCTGATCCTTCCGTGGATATTCAGAGGCTGTAGGTCACACATCAGTAAGCATTTCAGTTTTTCATTTTCTGCAAGCAGGATTGTGTCACCTGCATTTCATAAGTTGTTAATGAGTCTCCAATATCAGTAACACATTCTTGCTACAGCCCAGTTTCTTGGCTAATTTGCTCACTACACAGATTGAATTGATATTGTGAAAGGATACAATACAAATAAAAAAACAAAAGTGACAAAACAACTATGAGATATCATCGCACCCCAGTCAGAATAGCAAAATTTAATAACAAATATCAAATGCTGGCAAGGTTGTGGAGAAACCAGAACCCTTATTCACTGTTGGTGGGAGTGTAAAATGGTGCAACCACTATGGAAGGCTGTATGGCGTTTTCTCAAAAAGATGCAGATAGAAATACCATTTGAACCAGCAATTCCACTACTGGGAATTTACCCTAATAAACCAGAACTACCACCCAAGCAGATATATGCACACCCATGTTTATTGTGGCTTTGTTTGCAATAGAAAAGAGTTGGAAACAACCCAAGTGCCCATCAACAAATGAATGGATAGAGAAGCTCTGGTATACTGACACAATGCAATACTATGCAGCATTGAAAAACAAGGAATTCGTGAAATATTATACAAAATGGATGACCCTGAAGCACATTATGCTAAGTGAAATATCTCAGTCACAAAAGGACAAATATTGCATAGGGCCACTATTGTAAAATGGGACTGACCATGGATGCAAAAATCCTGAATAAAATATTGGCCAATAGAATCCAACGATACATCAAAGAAATAATCTATCATGACCAAGTGGGATTCATAACAGATATGCAAGGATGGTTCAATAGAAGAAAAACAATTAATGTAATTCATCATATTAACAAAGCAAAGAACAAGAACCACATGATCCTATCAATTGATTCAGAAAGGCCTTTGACAAAATCCAACACCCTTTTCCGATTAAAACACTCCACAAAATAGTCAAATAGTCTTTAGTCAAAGAGGAATTTCTTCAATATAGTAAAAAGTATTTATGAACACCTGAGAGCCAACATTGTTCTCAATGGAGAGAGGTTAAAAGCATTCCCTTTAAGAACAGAAACTAGGCAGGGATGCCCATTATCACCTCTCTTATTCAATATTGTATTGGAAGTCTTAGCGATAGTAGTAAGACAAGAGAAAGACATAAGAAGTATCCAAATTGGCAAAGAGGAGGTAAAATTATCTCTCTATGCAGATGATATTATAGTATACTTAGAAAACCCTAAAGACTCAGCAAGAAAACTATTGGATGTAGTTGACCAATTCAGCAAAGTAGCAGGACACAAAATCAACATAAAAAAAATCAGTTGGATTTCTCTACAGTGACAAAGAGAATACAGAGCTAAGAAGACAATACCCTTCACAATAGCTAATCACAAGATAGAATATTTGGAAGTAAATATAACTAGAAGCACAAAGGATCTATTTTAAAAAATTACGAAACACTACTACAAGAAACAAAGAGAGACCTGGAGAGGTGGAAGAATATCCCTTGCTCATGGATAGGAAGACTCAATATTGTGAAAATGGCAATACTCCCAAAGGCAATTTACACGTTCAATGCAATCCCAATACAAATACCAATCCCATTCTTCAATGAGATGGAAAAGGCAATATCCAGCTTCATTTGGAAAGGAAAGAAGCCCCAAACAAGCAAAGCACTCTTTAAAAATAGAAAAAAGGTAGGAGGCATCTCACTCCCTGATTTAAAATCCTACTTCACTGCTATGGTAGTTAAGACAGCATGGTACTAGTACAATGACAGATACAAAGATCAGTGGAATAGAATTGAGAACCCGGAAATCAGCCCATCTATTTATGGTCAACTGATTTTTTACAAGAAGATGAAATCAGTTAGGTGGGGAAATGATAGCCTTTTTAACAAATGGTGTTGGCAGAATTGGAAAATTATCTGCAGAAGAATTAAGCAAGATCCACACCTCAATCCATATACAAAAAGCAACTCAAGGTGGATCATGGACCTAGGACTGAAACCAAGGACTATAAACTTCATTTAAAAAAGCTTGAAAGAACTTTAGTAGTCCTAATCCACAACATAAACAGTCTTCCAAGTATCCTGAAAAATCTACAACCAGGAGAAGATAAAATAGATGAATGGGACCTTCTAAGAATCAAATCCCTATGCGCATCCAGAAACTTCTCTAACAGGGTAAAAAGGGAAGCCACAGACTGGGAAAAAGTGTTTGGTAATGACATGTCAGATAAGGGACTTATATCTAGAATTTATAAAATACTTGAGCACCACAACAAGATAAAGGTAAATAATCCAATTGAAAAATGGGCACAGGATATGGACAGACACTTCACCGAAGAAGACATTCAGATGGCCAACAAGCACATGAAGAAATGTTCAAAATCCCTAGCTCTAAGAGAGATACAAATCAGGACAACTATGAGATATCATCTCACCCCAGTAAGACTAGCAAAATTTAACAGAACAGCATGCAACAAATGCTGGCGAGGTTGTGGAGAGGCTGGAACTCTTATTCACGGTTGGTGGGAATGTAAAGTGGTGCAGCCATTGTGGAAAGCAGCGTAGCGCTGTAAATAGAGATACCATTTGACCCAGCAATTCCATTACTATGAATATACCCTAAAGAGACCATAACTGACATCCAAGCAGATACATGCACACCCATGTTTATTGCGGCTTTGTGCACAATAGCAAGGAGTTGGAAACAACCTAAGTGCCCATCAACAAATGAATGGATAGAGAAGCTCTGGTATACTGACACAATGGAATACTATTCTGCATTGAAAAACAAGGAACTCATACACTATAATTCAAAATGGGTGACCCTGGAGGACATTATGCTGAGTGAAATATCTCAGTCACAAAGGGACAAATACTGCATAGGGCCACTGTTGTAAAATGGGACTGACATCAGGGTTGAGGGCAGACAGAAGAGGGGAGGAATGATGTATACTGCATTGAAACAGATGAAGGAGAGAACTGTTTAAAGGGATAGATGAATGGGTATTTTAGTCATTACAGAAGTCCAGAGTGAAGGCTGCATAGTGGAGTGGACTTAGGGGGAGTGATTGCATAACAATGAAAGTGTTTTTCATTTTCTTTTCAAGGAGAAGAGTGAATTGGGGGAGGGGGGAGCAGGGAGAAAAGTGCAACAGTGAATGAATGGAAACCCTACTCTGTAAACTTTCATTAAAATTAATAAAATTTTAAAAAAATAAACGGGAAAAAAAACCAAAAAACAAAACTGAGACTACTTCACACTACCAGAATAGCTATAATAAAAAAGATAGTTAACAAGTATTAGTTAGCAAGGACACAAAAGAAATTGGAACCTCATGCCCACACTGCAGAGGAGAGAATGAAATAGTACCGCCACTTTGGAAAATAGTCTGGAAATTAAAAAAAAAAAAAGCTAACCACAAAATTATCATTATTATCTTGCAAATCCATTCCTAAGTACTTTGTTGTTGTTATGTGCCATCAAGTCGCCTGTAACTCATAGCAACCCTTTGTACAACAGCTCTGACCTCTGCTCTATCCTGAACCGACCTTGTTGTCTCTGACACACCTACCCCCATTACCCCAGCCACTGAGTTAATCCATCTCATCGAGGGTCTTCCTCTCTTGAGCTGTCCCTCCACTCTCCCAGGCATAATGCCCCTCTCCAAAGATTGGTCCCTCCCTGCAGCATGCTCAAAGTATGTAAGAGCTTCAGAATCCTTGCCTCCAAGGAGCAGCCTGCTTTCACCATCTCTGGGGTGAACCTCTTTGTTCTCCTAGCCCTTCATGGTATATTCAGTACTCTTCTCCATCACCATAGCTCAAAGGCATCAGTTTTCCTTCTACCATCCTTAGCTTTCTTACCATCATCTAGCTTTCTGATAAATAGCACGTAATTGCAAAGACCATGGCCTAGATCAGGTACACCTTACTCTCCAGACTGACATCATTGCTCTTCAGTACTCTGGAGATGTTCCTGACAGCAGACTTTCCCAGTGCAATCTGTCTTTTGATTTTCTGGCTGCTGATACCAAGAGTGTTGATTGTGTAGCCAAGGAAACTAAAGATATTAACAATTTCAGTCTCCTCACAGTCTATCTTGATGCTGCCAGTTAGCCAACTGGTAAGAATCTTTTTTTTCTTGATGTTGAAGTTTGATCCATACTGAAGGCTACAGTCCTTGACCTTCTGCAGCAAATGCTTCAGGTACTACTCAGGTTCAACAAGCAAAGTTGCATAATGCAGGCTCTTAATAAGTCTTCCTCCAATCATGATGCCACATTCTTCCTCATGGAGCCCAGCATCCTGGATGATCTGTTCCACATATAGATTGAAAAGGTATGAAGATAGGACACATCCCTGGCATACATCCTTCCCAATTTTGAACCATGCAGTATTTCCTTGCTCTGTCTGACTACTGCCTTCTGGTCCAAGTATAGGTTTTGCATAAGCACAATCAAATGTTCTGGGATTCCCATTCTTTTCAGAGTCAGCCACAGTTTGTTGTTATCCACAAAGTCAAATGCCTTTGCATAATCAATAAAACACAGATAGACAATCCTCTGGTACTCCCTGCTTTCAGCCAAGATCCATCTAACATCAGCTACAATAT